AACCGCAGGCTGCTCTGCGTTCCTGTGCCCACCAGCTACTGGTGAGGTACTGACGATACTCTGACTAGAGTCTCCATGAAGATGTTCCCTGTTTTATTGCAGCCAACTCTCAAACTATTTGTTTTCATTAGTAAGAAAGGAAATGCTCTTAGCTTAGGCTCCTAACACAAAGGGGTCTGTGTAAGGCAAACCCACAGTTTTGTCATGGAGAGTTCACAGGTGCTCTGGCTGACAAGGGGCAGAGTGGATTTGTACTACTGGGACACCAGTTAAAATTAGTTTATCCACTGTGTGCAGTGCTATGTAATCACAAAGCTGCTCCCCTCTGTCCTTGAGGTAGAAGAAAGCCAGTGCTGGTTTAACTGAGTGCTGTGCTGCATGATGAAGCAATTCAGGAGCTGCTTCAGCCATCAGTGAACAGTTCTGGGGATATCCTCAATGATCCATCCTGTGCAAGACATTCCTATTGTTCAGAACAGCCAAGTAGCACATATGCACAGATTAATCCAGACTGGATGGGGCCCTGAGCAACCTGGCACAGGGGGAGGTGTGCCTGCCTATGGTGGGGGACTAGAACTAGATGGTTTTAAGGCCCCTCCCAACCCAATCTATGCTTCTAAAAATGTTACAGGCTTTAACAGTCTATGAAATTATGAACTACAGACTACTTTGTCTTAAACTCTTACCTCACGTTGAATTGCTAATGCTAAGGTCATTTCTTTCCCTTTCCCTTTCCCTTTCCCTTTCCCTTTCCCTTTCCCTTTCCCTTTCCCTTTCCTTCCCGAGGGTTTAAGGCTTCCCTACAGGTTTTGAGGTTCAAAGTTGATAGGTCTAATGCTATCAGGTGCATTTATTTCAGGTTACAGTAGGCATGAAATAATACCTGTTGGACAGAAACTATTCAATTTATTTTGCATTCTGCAGTAGAATAGCGGATTGTGTCCATAGGAACTTCGCAGGTACTTTAAAGCAAAAAAAATCCCTCAAACCTTGAAACAATTTTTTTATATTATGCCCTTTTGTGATCTCCTTCTTCACTGACTAAGCCCTTTATTTCCTGTAATTTAGGTAAACTCACTTTCATGGATAGACCTTTAAAGCTGTAAAGGGCTCCCAACATAAGAGCTAACGCTGAACAGCTGTTCTCCAGGAGATTTTCCTCATGTATAACTTCTAAATTTTTACAGAGGATGCAAGCATGACTATAATCTAAAAATGGGTAGCATAAGCCTGAAACGAGTATTTTTATGGAACTGTATTCTAGAATAATATTCAAGCTACATCTCTCAAGTTCCTCCCTTTCCTTTGCTTTTCTTTGATACTTATTTCTCCTTGGAATGCAACACCTTTGGAGGACCCTCTCTTAGATGTAATTCCAGCTGAGATTTGCCTAACAGAGTAAATACAGAGGGGTAAATGCTGCAAACTCACAGCAGATAAGAAAAACCTATCATTTGTTTTGCCATAGATCAACACTGTGAGACAACTGGTGAAAAGGCATGTACAACTATTATTTTTTGCATCATAATCTAGTAAAGGCATATTTCTAGAACACTTGTGCTTTACCTATGTTTTCATGTGAATAGTGATTTAAGAACAAATTTCATTTATTTTAAGAATCAAAATCACACCTTCCCAAAAATACCAAGTATTTTTGGTAACCAGGTTAAATACTGCAAACAAATTCTGAACCTTAACAGAGTATTTTGACCTAATTTCTATTTAAATAAAGCAAGACTGTTTTATACTGTAATTGGAACATAAAAAACATCCAAACCAATAAAATAGTGTAACATCCTGCTATTATCTGTTTTAAACAAAGATGATATTTTTTATTTTCTTGTTTGGATTTCAGTTTAAAATATCACACATATCACCTATCTCCATAATTCCCACTTACCTGAGTTTCTCCCTATCTTGAGATTTGTTTATACAATAATATTAGTAAGGTAATGAAACCAATTTTCCTCCATACTTTCACAACCAATGCTACACATCTCTGTATGTCTCCTCCTGTGTCTCAGAGTTCTTCTTTATTCTGACTCTTTATTTCCTCCAGAAGCAATCTCCTAACCTGCAGAAGTGCTAAATGGACCATCTATTTCATCTTTTCCCACGGATTTCTTCTTTCATGCATTCTAGTCTGTACTTTAAATTCTCAGGTAGGCCTGGAGGCTCATTCTGGAAACATTCCTGCACTCTGTGAAAGCACCCCTTCACTTTGAGTTACAGAGGCACATAAACACTTGCAGAATCACATTTTGTCCCAGCAGTCCTTTCCTGTCCTTAGCTCATCTCTACGCACAACTATCTACAGAAGAAGACTACTCAGAATATATCTAATATCCCATTTTCTTTCCCTGAGGCTCAAACACTTATCCAATCAATTCATGTTCTGATTGTAGTATCTTCAAACTAGTAAAATTCACAACCTCTCCTTGACAAAATCAACATTTTAGCTGATTTTAGGTCTGAGCTTCTGATGAACTGCAATTGGCTACAATTTCCCTGAAGCCCTGAAAACCCCTCTAACTTAAGTTTTTGATAGTGCTGTTCAGGCTAGTTGTACTTTTCATTATGCAACATGTCTTCTATGGTAATATCTGAATAATCACATATCTAATTCAATAACAGATCAAAGTTGAAGATATTAATTATTAGACATATTGTTAATTAATCTCAAGATAAATGTATTTACCATGTCTAGAAAAAGATGCCTATGATATTAAATCACTAATTGAACTTGAATATCTTAATTACTGTATTATTAACAGATTCTATTTGGTATTTACTTGATAAATTATATTTAATCAGTAGTGTTGTTTATGAGATAATTTTTGTTCCTGTCTAAGCTTTATGCATGAACTTAGATACTCTTGTGTGATGACTGGTGTTTAACCTTTTCCAACATTCTTTGATAAGGTTCAGCCATGCCCTGAGGAGGTCCAGCCCTGCCCTCCCCTGAGCTGTGACTGCTGACACTGTGACAGCTGAAGGGCTCTGGACAGCGTGGGGACACTGTGCACTCCCATGGTGACTGCAGGGCACTCTGCTCTGGCCCCGGCTTCCGCTCCATTCCAGCTCTAAGCACAACCAAGCAGGGGGAGAATGTGTACCAGAGTCTGTGCTACCTCCTGAACCATTCTAAAGTGGGAATCATTAATCCTGAATACCTTTGCTTTAAAATGCAACCACTCTGTGTAACACAGTCCACAACAATTTAACTCCATGGGAACAAGGATAAACTTTGCCACTCTGCCTTGGGCAAAACACCTGCTCAAGTTACCCAGGTCAGAACTGGGGCTGGCAGCTCACTCAGAACTCATGGAACTGTTCATCCATCTTCTGCATTTTAGAAAATTCTTATTTTTGTTTTCTTGAGATAAACTTTCCAGCAGAAAAATACAGACTGTGTATTTTATTTTCATTCCTTTTTTAGTTGCACTTCCAATTTCCATAAAAACTTAATAAAATTCAAGTCTGTATTTTTATGGTACACTAACTGAATGTAGAAGCAAAAATATAATAATGTTACAAAACCTGGTCACCAACTGGTTTATTTAAACATGTCCATTTTATTTTGCTTTATTTCAGTGAGGATATGACACTAGGAAAATACTTGTGTTCACAACTGTTTGAATACAATTCCACTCAATTGCTTCTGAAGACCACCACTGGTTTACAGTCTTTATATTAAATTCATGTTGGTCTATGGAACAACTTGAGTTTTCAACCAATAAGGTGTAGAATAAACCATATTTACATAATCTCTCAATGATTTGATAAATTTGTAAGACTGGGAACCAATGCAGAAAAAAATAATTATCAGATCTCAATATGCTGTTACTGTCTATAAGTCCTTTTAGATGTTGGGGACATCCCAAAGTCATCGATGTCAGTGCATAAACTCAAATTCAGCTGCATGCAGGGCTGGATACACTTCCTGTAATTCTTCAGCTTTTATGTCCAAATGAAGTTCTTTCCAACCTTCTCAAAAGGCATCAGTCAACATGGACAGCTTCCATCAAAAAGTAGGAATGTTAGAATGATGGAAAATCTAAACATAAGGGGCAGGTAAGCCCCGAGCTGAGATGAAAGACAAAGGAATTGAGCAAACAGAACAAGTGAAAGCCAGCATGCACTACTGGCATCAGCTCCTGCTCTGTGCCCACAAATGCCAACACTGAGAGGCTGCCCAGGGCTGTTTTCTCTCACTTGCTGTGGAAGTCAAACGCTGTAAATAACAAACACCTCCTCTTCCTTTGCTTAGTTTTTTAATGTAATGCCACACGGTATGGAATATCGCTTTGGTTAATGTGGGTCAGCTGTCCCAGTAGTGTCCTCTCCCAGGATCTTGCCCACTGACAGGGACAATGTCGCAAGGACAGTGCTGATGCCGTGCACACCCCGGAGTGTCACCAACACCTCCGCAGGCACCGATACAAAGCCGTGAGGGAAAACGGAGCTCCGTGTCAGCTCCGTGTCAGTCTGACCCACACAGGCACACGGCCCGAGAAATGGCACTGACCGCGGCCTGCGAAGGAAACTCGGGGCCCAGGAAGCATCTGCTTAAAAGCCGTGCTCCCAGGCAGCCGCACAGAACGATTCTGTTGTGCATCGAGGCCGGTGCTAAATTTCTGACAGAACGCCAGCGGTTAAAGGGAACCCCGTTACTCTCTCGTTACTGAAGCGTTTCCACAATGCGCTTTCATCTTGCCACCACAAAATACTTTTATTCTCCCGCGCAATCTCCTGATCGCTGCCAGGGGAGTCTCTCAGAAGAACCCTCTGGAGCAGGCAGGTAAGGGAAATTTAACCAGACGAGGGGGAACGGCCGTCAGCGCCTCGGCGCCCTCAGCCCACGAGGAGGGGGAAACGCCACGACGGCCTCAACCCCGGCCCCGCCCCTCAGCCCCGCGGCGCCCTCAGGCAGTCCCGACCCCGCCGCTCAGCCTCGGCCCCGCCCCTCAGCTCCGGCCCCGCCTCTCAGCCCTCCCGCCCCACTGCGCACGCGCGCCGCCCTAATGCCCCGAGGGCTGCCCTGCGCCCCGGCCTGTGACGTCATGCCGCCACCTGCCCTCGCACTACGCGCCACCCGGAAGCGTCCGCTCGGGCAGCAGAGCCGGTGGGAGAAAGGTTCCGGGCCGGTTGGGTTCCGGGGCTGCCGCGCTGAGGCGCGGCGCGGCCCGCGATGATCCCGGTGCCGGTGGTGGTGACCGTGCTGGGCGGCTGGTGCGCCGTGTACCTGGCGGACACGCTGCTCAAGGTGAGGGCCGAGGGCGCAGAGCCGGACGGGGCCGGGAGGAGGCGGCGGCAGCCCCGTTCCCCCCGCGCCGGGCGGCCCCGGGCCCCGCTGCCAAGCCCGGGCTGGCGGAGCGGCCGCGGCCGGGCCGGGCCCGCTGCTTCCCGCGGGCTCTGAGGCGATCCCGGAGCCCCTCCCGCCCCGCGGGCCCGCCAGTCCCTGCTCCGCTTCCCCCGGGGCTGCGCTCCGAACGCCGCCCGGGACAGTGCACGGGCTCCGGTCTGTGCTAAAGGACCGGAGCCGCGGAAAGTTGGGGAAAACAGCATTTAATAGATTGCTTAAGCGGCTCCGTGGCAGCTTAACGTGGTGTCTGGAGTTTATTATTAACTAAACCTAACATACAGTCTTGTAAGTCTGCGGAATGTGCCTTATAATGATGATTTTCCTAAAAAAATGTAAAAAGCAATGCGTATTTGTTTCTTTTGAATGTCTTTAGTTTTACTGGAGAAAATTTGAGACAGAAGTCTATACAAATACTTTTTTTAAAGAAATAAACTTTTCTGCTTGGAGAGTGTTAGGAGACTCATTCTTTTCCTTCTAATACAGGGGGGAATTTTTGAAAAGAAAATACACCAAGACATCATTTGTTACATCTGGGATGCATCTGTGCATTGCTCAAGTTTCATTAAGTGGTGTGGCATTGTTTTGGATTTTTGGGTTTTTTTTACAGATTCAGAGGTGTGATTTCTAAGACATGACCAAAATTGCAAAAAATGCATACAAAGTAGGCTGTGTGCTGGTTAAATATGAGGGAAAATGAAATGAGAGGTTTGATTTGTAATTCTTAATTTTACAGTCCAGGGGCTGCATCTTTTTCTGCCAAGGCAGATAAAGCTCAGTGATATGAAAGTACAAAATGTGCATTTTGTCACTCCTGTAAAATATAGGAAGAAATACAAGAAAATTCAGGTGCTTAGAAAACTTGGAAAAGTGTCTCCCCCTGCAGCTAATTGGAGCGCAAATGTAGCTCTGTTAGTGATGAAAGCTGATAACTGCAAAATATAGTCTGTACAATAATGGCAATAACAAATACAGTCATTTACCTGAAGACTTCTCAAATTTTCTTGCAGCAAGTCTATGTTAAGTATTAAAAAAAACCAAAACAAAACAGCATTGTTTTGAAACACATGAGGTTAGCCAGGTACCAGAAGAAGGTGCTCTGACTGAAGGTCAGCCAGGAGGCTGCTGCTTCTCTTTTGGCAGCACATTTATGTCTGATGGAGACTCCTGGGCTGTGAAGCAAGAACTGAGCTCAGGTACCAGACCTGTTGTGCCATGGTGCTGAGACCATTTGCATCTCTGAGACTCTGAAGATCTCTTTCTGCATTAGACCATAAAATCATTCTCTTCTGTAAATAAGGAGAGCCACTGCATTTCTTGCAGCAGCAAGGGAAGGAAAAAAAAAACCCTGCACGGAAGTGTATTAATGCCTGATTTATGTTGATAAAGAAGGGGGGGGGGGATGCCTAGAATTCTATAGCAAGCCTGAGAATCCAGGAGTTAAATTTTAATTCTGATCTTTTAACTAAAAGTTGACCAAGGTTATTAATCCTCAGGAATTATGTGGGAGATATTGGTTTCAGTGAACTTACTGGTAGATTTCCTGTTGTACTTCTCAGTTGTAGGTTTCACTGTGAGTACCACAGCTGAAATAGAATTTGAATTAAATAACCAGATTTATATCATTAGAAAGCTCAGGTTGCTTGTTTTTCTGCTGGTTCTGTAAATCTCCACCACAGTCACAACCCAAGGCTGCCAGCAACCACAGCAACATTGTACTGTTTAATTAATTGTACTGTTTGAATCTCAAATCACTTTCAGTGTAATTACACCAAGAGAATGTACAGAGCATGAGTGAAAAATAACATGGGAGCACTTTTCCATGTGTGATCCTGTTGATATTTTTGGCAAGAGAAGGATGTGTGCTGTAACTTGCAGTTAATGTTTATTCTGTAAACCTGTTCTATGTGCAATATTTTTTTGCTCAGTTTGTTCCATTACTGGTTTTGTTCAGATTTTAAATATTTTATTTTGGCATTCTCACTGCTGGACTACAGTATAGAAAGTGTAACTGTATAAATATATTTTTGTATAAGTATATACTTTTGGTATAAGTATAAATGTATTTTTGCCCAGATAAATGAACATTTTATAAGAGTGCTATAATTAAAAGATTTGTGTCAAGAAACTAAAGCTATGCCAAATCAAGCTGGAATTTTGGATGCTTAGTCCCCCTTGTTGCTCCTCGTTGTACCACTTTTGTACCAACATTTTCATTGAAGCTTGGATTCTGTAAGAGGGACTCACTCAGACCCCTGAATTCCTTCTCCCCAGCATCCTAAGTCATCACATTTCATCCTGCCTGAAGGATCAGGAGCAGGTGAAGTGCAGGAGGTTGTCCCTCCTTCTGCTGTGGGAAATAAAGGATGCATTAGAGACGTTCAGTCAAGGTTGGTTCTCATTTTTGAAGGTCAGGAAGCTGAAATGATTCAGAGCTCCTGAGCAGATTCTGCCAGCAGAGAAGGATGTTAAGGACTCCTGCTTGCTGGCAGGTTCCTGTGGAGCTCCTGGAGTGTTTAGCAGTGTCCAGCATTTTAAAGGCTGCATGAATAAATGGGGCTGCTTTTATAGTAAAACTGATCTAACAGAGATCTCTCAGATCTCAAAGAAGCAGGGCCAAGGCCTGTGTGAAGCAGCTTGAAATGAAACAAGGGCATGAGGGTGTGTGTTTAATATGGTGATCCCACTGGGATCAGGACAGAAGGAGCAAAAATTTGCAAAGAGCTTTTTAACTTATTTTGCAAAAGTTTACAGCCGTTTAGTGATTATGAATAACATTTACACAACTTGTGAGGAAAATACAAAAGGAAAAATTTTTGGTACCTTTCTTTTCCACATTTGACAGCTGTATGGTCAGTGATTCCATATTCCTCATGGAAAACTTTATACTTATTTGTCTTGCTAGGACAGTGGACCTGTGATGTTGTTGGGATGAATTTGTGGCAGTTCTAGGGAAAAAAGTGGGGTTTGCATGAGATAGAAGAAACACATTTTCAAGTGTCAAATCAGTGTATCTGATTAGCTGTATTAGAATAATGTTTTAGGGTTGTTTTGAGAGTTTTTTGACTGTGTGAATGAATAGGACTTTTTTCTTTTTAAATTCACAGAAGACAGTTTTTCACATCAGGGATTCTTAGTGATACATGTATTTTTGTTCTTAATTATCTGCTAGATTATGTGAGGAGGTCTTTTTCTATGTTTCCTTGGCTTATGTATCACTAATTGTGTACAAGGCCTATCATCTTTGTGATCTCCTCTGTTAAAATTAGCAAAAGCTGATGTGATTGTGAACACTAAACTTAATGGTGCCATAGGGAGTGAGTGGTGTTGATGGGAGTGCATTACAGTGAAAATTTCTGTTGGTGACCTCAGCTGACAGAACGAAAATGTGGCTGAAATCAGTAGGGTGAAGAAGAAGGAAATGATACAGAAATATATAGGCAGAAAGGATAAATGGTGTAATAGGTGGTATGTGAACAATGGCTCAAGTAAATGGGTCTCACAGCTGAGGAAATTTGTTATTTGAAATAAACTTTCAGTGTTCAAGATTTAATTAATATGACAAAATGAGAAAATCTGACAAAATGAGAAGTGTGCAGTATAAGATCCTCAACCCCCAGCACCACTGTGGTGCAAGGCAGGAGGAATGTGAGGAATTGGCAAGTTCTAAATTTGTTCAAAGGACCACAGACAAGAGCTAGAAACTTGTGGAGTTCCTTGTCAGGGAGAGAAGGGAGCCTGTTGTGAACTACACACTTGGATGTCTTCAGTAGGTGCTGCTGCTTGTGGGGATCCTTGGGAACAGTGCTCCAGTTCAGACAGCTCCAAAGACTTGTCTGGATTTTTTCAGAGACACTCCTGCCTTGGGAGCTGCCCAGTGTCAGAATGCTCAAAGCTCATCTGTGCTTTTCCTGAGCTCTGAGTTCCTCCTGTGTCGTTCCTTCATCTGGGTTTCTGACACAAGCTTCCATGAAGCAAGTGACTAAAGCCTATTGAGGATGCAAGCACCATAAAGTAAAGTTAGCAGTTGCAAAACCCATGTCTATTGGTCTATAATTCAAGATAATGTTGCAGATAGGTATTCATAGGTCACATCTATAGGTCACATCTCTCATCAAGAGAAATCTTTGGAACTACTAGAAGTACCTTGAAATGCTGGGAAGTTACCATAGTGAAACTGCTATTGCAATTCAGGTTGATAATTTTAAATTTCTTGTGGTTTTTTGTCAGCCTGAGCAGATATTCCAGACCCTCTTTAGGCATCGTATTTGTGTTTGAAAAATACTCTCTTTTTGTCCTTACTAGCAGGTATCTGCAATAGTGAGCCATATCTCATCTGTATGAGAAAGTTTTTTTCAGCTGGAGACAAAGAAGCATTTTTCATTATTGTAGTTTTTAAAATGTTTATTGGAATATAATTGCATGTTGAAAGACTACCATCAACAGTCTCGAGCCTTCTAACCAGAAAGTAAAACTACTGAAAGGGATTTAACACTAGGAAAGGTGATGCAAGACCGTGTTTGCCAGATAACTCTGGATACCCAGCCTCTCTCACAGACCTACAGTTGTTGGAAATAACATCAAAACAGTGACATAACTTTTATGACATTACATGTGATTTTCACATTACAAGTCACACCTACCTATATGTCAATATGTAAGTAAGGTGTAGGACATCTACTTGAAATTATATGTCTGTTTTTATACAAACAGATCACATTTACTGCTTGGTCACATTACAAAATCTTCCTGGAATGTTTTGGTCAAGCTGCTGTTCTGTTGTTTTGCAGTCCTCCAACTCTCTGAAGGCGTCCTACGAGGACTGGCTGCTGACGTACGGCCTGAGCGTCTCTCCCTTCCACCTGCGCTGGCAAACCGCGCTCTTCAACCGCCAGTTCTACAGCTGGGGCAGATGGAAACCCAAATTCCTCTACTTATGGTACCAGTTCTGCCTCCTTTCTCTGCTGTCAGAGTCAACAGTCGAACCATGTTGGTGCCTTTCAGCATTAGAAGGGCAGTGGGTAGACATGGATATTTTAATAGACTAATGATTAAATCAATTGGCGTGGTTGCTCTAGTTGTACTGTGCCAGTATAAGTATTTAACCTCTTCTAAAAAATACATAAATGTAATACAAGTTGCATATTGAGCTCTATAAAACTAGAAATCCTTAAACTATTTTTATGTGTGGTTTGAAGTATGCATAGTTCTGAAGAGTACAGCTATTACATGCAATACTGCATACAGAAGTAGGTCTGAAAGCTCAGATCCTAGATCATTCCCAAAGCTGTAGACTTAGCTCTCCCAATCACTACAGTTTACAAAGTATTCAGAGCCAGCTCTGTACCTGTAGTTAATAATTGCCCAGACATTCAGCAATGATACCTGCTCAGGAGCTCCTTGCTTACCTTCTGTCTTTTATCTGCCCGCATCTTTCCATGCAAAGGTTGCAGAGTCCTGGGAATGGGTAGATAGTAGGGTGGTTGTCGGAATCCCGGCTATTTAGATAGCCTGGAAAGGCCCGGGGTGGCCTTGGGGCAGCCCACACTTCAAGGGCGAGAAGAGGCTTCAAATCTTTTCTCGGTCTTGGTGTTTATTAATTGTTTATCTAAAAGATTTTCTCTCGGCCCGACAGAGGTCTGCTCAGCAGCCAGCCATGAGCACACTCCCCTCCCCTCCGGGCGGTCACCTATCTTTATACTCAAAGTTACGTATACAATATTTATCATTTTTCCCCAATACCTTTCACCCTTATTAACCAGTGCACTTTTAGTAATAACCAATCCTAAAGTGCCACCATCACCACAGAAGATGGAGGAGAAGAAGAAGAAGAAGAAGGACAGGACACGCCCCAATTCCTCCATCGTACTTCTCTAAACCCCCTGTACAGAAATCCTAAACCCTGTGTTTCACTCTCTAATTAACTAATCCCTTCACCATTCACCCCGGTGAAACCCTCCTATCCTCATACAGGTGTCGTCTCCTGTGTAGGATCAAAGTCCAGCCACCAGACACTTCTGGCAACATTCCAGGACTCCCGAGCCCCCCAAGGGCGGTCTCGGTGACTCGGCACCTCAGTCCTGAGGTGCTTAGATCCCACAGGTGGTCTAATATGGGTGCTCCTGGACTGGTTTAGAAAACTACTCTTCAATTGCCTCCATAGCATTACTTTGTATCTGAAAATATAAAATGAGTAAGGTTTGAATTTCTTTCATTTCCTGTATTGCTACCCTCAGTGAGAGAGTAATAAAAGAGAGGTCTACTTCAAATTGATTTCTCTAGTATGTAATGATTTTGTAATAATCAGTCTGAAATAGCTCTATATCAATTACAGTTTTTAATGTGTATAATTTATTACAGTATAATGTTTCCACTAGTCTCTTTAATTAACATTACAAGTACATGTTGCTTAAAATAAATCTACTAATTCCCAGTGAGCTTCATTAAGGCTGATAAGAGAACAGTTGAGCGTTATGAGAGGAGGAAGGATTGGTAGTGAGGTGTATGTGCTGGATTTACATCATGGAAGTTTTTTTTAGTTAGAAAAAAGAGTTATCATGTCCTTCAGCCATAGGACAGTGTAAAATAAGAATAATAATATTAATGCTGAATAAAAATTTGTCACTAAGTGGAGTGACATGAATTGAAATTATTTTCAAAATTGATTTTAATGAAAAATTGGTGAGAAGAACAATGTAGCTTAAGAAATTGGTGTTAATGTTGTCTTGCAGTTGTACTCTTTAGTTGTTTTTTAAAAAAGATTCAGTCTCATTTCTTGTTCTTTAGCCCATTTTATTGTTTGTGAGAATGCTGCAAAATGTACAAAAGAAGCTTACATGTATAAGTACATAAGCTGCCCCATAATTTGATCTAGGTCTCTAAATATGTGATGCTGTTGTGCAACATGGCCAATTATGCATTGTTAGTTAAGTTTCTATATTCTTATAAACTTATGTATTCATAGCTACAGACAAGTTACATGTGTTGGGTAACAGAATAAAAGTATTTGAAAGTTGATCAGGATATAGTTTGGATGTAGAACATTTATTAAACAAGGAGAACATAAGTTATAAGTGTTATTAGTATATATTATTGTTGTTAGTTTCCTTTAGCATTTTTCTATTGGATTGTTGATGAATTGTGGTGGCATCAGGTAAGTTTTGCCCTGTGGTTTGTGCAGTAACTTGTGCTGTACAGAGGAGATTTGCATAGCCAGAGATGACACCCTTTTTCTCTTGGCTGTGCATTGCTGAACTTTTTGCTTCTCTGTGTAGGTTCAGTGTAGGAATGGTGTTTGGAATAGTTGCCATGTTTGGCTCTGTTATTCTGCTTGGGAAGACCCTGCTGCAAACACTGACCCAGATGCTCACCGAGGCTCCAAAAGCCCAAAATGATCGAATGCTGCAGGTTGTGGTGAGTGTTCCCTCCTCAGGTCTTTGTTTGAGAAATGTGTATAGATCTAAAGCAGCTTCTTAATGGGGTACAGGATGCCAAAATATTCCTATGCAAGAATAACCCAACTCCTGATGTTCATCTGCATGAAAATGTGCTGGTTTTTTACCAGCCTTAAAAATGGGAGAGGAGGTATAGAAAAAGGGAAAATGAAGGCAAACATGTGGAAGAGTTTATGTTAAAAATCCTCAGGAGTGGGAACTGGATAATCATTTTGAAAAGCCCTAAATTATAGTACTAAGAATAAAATTATAGTACTAAGCATATAAAACTGAGTTAAGAACTCGTTTCCTGTAAGCTGTGCAGTAGGCTCTGGTGACCTTACAGTTTGCAGAGCTCATACATAATTGACAAGAGGAGACAAGTTCTGTTTCTTTTAATACAATAGAAAACAACAGGAAAGGAAAAGGAAAGAAAGGCAAAAAACTTTGTGTGATAGTAGAGCAAAAATCATTAGTGAGGAAGTATTTTTTGATTCTTCAAGGACTTGTGACTTAATTGACTATGTGAAATTTCAAGTGCTAATTCTGGCAGTATCAAAGTCCAATGATATATTTGATTGTTCTGTGCATTTCTGGTGCTGGACAATATATTGTGTGGTTTTAGAATGGAATGTATTTCACAGGATAGGGGGGGTTACAAATACTGTCTTTTTAATCTTTTTGCAAGGCAGTAATGGAAGAACTGACATTGCCTTGCTACAATTTTAACCTGGAAGGATTTCTAGTCACCTTTTTATACCAGGAATGCAATGTGGCCAAAATGTATGGTCATTTTCCTGAAATTCAGAAAGTGTTATGGGATTGCTCTGCCTTCTGCTACATGGCTTAGAGCAGAGGTGCCCAGCCATGTTACTCTGTTTCAGTACTCAGCCATTCAGGTGACCAGATGTTGAGAATTGTGTGCAGATACAATAGACCTTCCTGTAAGCACTAAACTGACTGCATGCAGCTAGGCTGGCATGAGTGCAGGAAGCCTGATTTAGCATGTGCCAGAAACATATTGCCTTTGGATGGGACTGTTTCACACAAAAAAGCAGAGTGAATATACAGAGTTCAGTGTGTGTTGGAAAAAGCAGGCAGTGAGACCCGAGGAAAAACCACTGTCACTGCCACTGCTGCCCCTGTCCAGAGCCTGCTCCTGAATTACCTCCAGGGGCAGACAGGAGTGGGCAGTCTGTGCATCTGGGAGGGCATGAGCTGAACATGAGACAGAACATTTTGTAATTTACATTCCAACAGGATCTGTCCTAACTTTTCTGGAGTTCCTTTCCATCTTCATTTTCTGAGGTCATTTTATGGATCCATCCACTTTTGTGTCACCAGAGTAAAGTGGTCATTGACAATATATTGCTCTTTGGAGAAAATAACACAGACACAACCAAAGTAAAGATGAGCCTTTGGAATTAATCTGGTGTGAACTGGAACACACCAGTGAAGGTAGAAATGTAGGATAATGTTCACAATTTCAATGTGGACTTGTTTCCTCAGTGACTGCCTCCTGGCAATATCATTGCATTCAAACCAAGGATTGACTGGCTCTGAAAACAGTTTAATAGATAGGGATAAAGTAATGTCATGTGTGGGGATAAGGTTACTTCTCCTAAGCTGAGTTGTGGTTCGCTTCCTTTCTTACCTCATTCTTTCAGTTTTGAATGGTCACAGTTGTATAATTCTGCCTTTAGCAAGTTTCAGAATTCTTTTTAAGGGGAATGTGCTAGTGTAAATTGACACCAAAAAGAGATTTATGTGGTTGTAAAGAGGTGAAGAATGACTTAGGAGGACCTTCCCATTAAAATTGTTTACTTGTATTTGACTGCCTGGAAGAGAGCAAATTAGTTTTAAAAAAACCCAACAAAATCCCACTTTTTCTTTTTAAACTTAATTTTAGCCTGTGGCATAAAGCTATTTAGCCTTACCCTCTGGGTCTGCAGAGAAGGAGAAACAGTTGTACTTATATTTTATTAAGATTTTTATATACTTCCTCTTTTGTTCAGTCATGTACTTGATGTAAAATACCTGTCTATAGGTAACTGGGCTGTTTGTCTTCAGCTGCCCCCTCCTGTGTTGGTTGCCTACTGACAAAAGTAGGAGAGAGGCAGATTAGTTACAAGCAAAGGATCTTCTTATACTAAAGGCATTTCCAGAAGGCCATAAAATACAAGACAGCTTGTCTTGACATACAAGACATCTTGTACAAGATGCTTTTTAACAAAATCCTGCTATTGATTGCAGAGCCCTTCATGAGAGGTAACTTCTGTTTTAGGTGAATCTTAAAATAGTTCATTGACGTAAAGTCTGAAAGCATCTGGTGCTGTGTTCTAGCAGGCTGCAGTCATGGTGGAATGGAGATGGCAGCTCTTGCTGCTGCCATCTGTCCTCCCACTGCAGAGAGAGGCAACGCCACTGAAGTGATGCATTAGTGCCACCAGCTGATGCTGTAATGCAAGCAGTGATGTTTCAGAAATGAAGTGTGGCTGTCTTTCATACTGTGAGTACCACAGCTGAGCCAGTTAAGGTGAATTCCTTGGTCACCATCACACTGGACAGAATTTGTGAGGTGATTAACATTAATGAATCCTTTTGAAGGATTTAATTCAGCTAGATTGTCTCAACCAACTCTTGTAGAATTCTGCTACATGGGTAGGTAAATGCATATAAGTGAAGAATGTGCAGAACTGAGCAAAGGTAGAATCCAACCTACCTAGTTGGGTGTGCAGCCTTTTGTTTTCCATGATGCTGGGTTTTACAGAGTTCTATAGACAGGCCAGGACTTTTTGCCCACAGCACCTCTTTTGTGAGGCTGGATTGCAATTCATGTTGTGTTCACATCAATTGTTAGTGAGCATACTGGAGTGCAGCCTGCCGTGGGTAGAAAAAGCTGTAGATCTGACAGGAGGAATGTCCCAGAGCAATCCCACTGCAGCCCAGCAGCTGAGGGTGATGCAGCTGAGCAGGATGAAGGTCCATCAGGAGGAAGGAGGGGATGGTTCCTCATGCTTTCCTTAGTGACCACTTTGAAGCCTGTCTGGAAGCAGTTGGTGTCTCATGACAAGCACAGTGAAGGACCTGGGAGTGGTGGGAATCCACAGCAATGGGAAGAATATGAGAGGCCTGCATATTATGTCTTAGGTAAATTAAAAATCATTTCAAGGTGGGTTTTTTTTAAGGTTAAATTGCCATATGTAGACTAGTAAAGCCTGAAGAATAGATGAATTTTTTTTTTTGACACTGTAAACTGAAATAATTTTGTGATTTCTATAGGAAGAGAGAAGGAAGAGACTGACTGTTCAGCTGTCAACTCATTTTTGAATTTTTCATGTTCATACTTTTTGGAGTGCCTTACAATTTTTATTATTTTCTTTTGAAAGGTGGATCTTTTCTGTAGCTACGTGAGTGGTGGCAGGAAATTGTAAACTAATGCTCACAGTGCCAAGGCTGTTTCATTTGAATGGAAGTCTGTGTACATTTTTATAAACTTGTCAAGCTTAATATAGAGTAGGATTTGTTTGGTCAGAGCTGTGGGGAATATATAGGGCAGGAGAGGGCTTTTTGTGCCTGGAGAGCTTTTTCATGTTCCACAAAAGAATATATATTTCATATACTTTAAAATACACTGAATAAGTTGGTAAAAGAGGTGCAAACTGATCGTGCTGCATTGAGAACAGCCCCTGGTCTGCAATGGACATGAAGAAGTGAGTGAGAGCAGCAAATTTAGGAGCAGAATGATTTGTCTTTGTACCTCTTGTTTTCCTCCTGTGTTTTGTTTTGTTGTCATGCCCACATCAACAGGTGCCTGGTGTCAATTTGCCCATCAGCCAGCTGACCTATTTCTTCTCTGCAATCCTCATCAGCGGTGTCATACATGAAGTCGGCCATGGGGTGGCAGCTATTCGGTAATTTCTGTTTTGCTTTTCTGCTACTCTGACAACAAAGCCAACTATTCCAGAGCAGTTACCTAGCCATGAATGTTGTTAGCTCTGCTTTGTTTTATCTAGAGAGTCTGTTTAGTCTGTAATTCATAGCTTCCTTAGATTTGAAGTCTGTAATTCACAGCTTCCTTAGATTTGAAGTTTGTAAGGGTGTACAAATTAAGGATAGAGTTTTAATGCAGTATCTATTATACAGATCATGAGAAGGGACTTCTGCTTTGCAAATATAGCATCAGGTTTAAAACAGTTTTTTTTAAGTGGCCCAGTTTTTTACACAGCAATTTAATTTCTGTGCTTGTGGCACTGGAACTCCTACTATTGCACAATGATACTTTAAAATAGATTTTTAATTGATTTGTTTAAACATAGCTCATGAAATATGATATGAACAGATTGAAGCAATAACTTGGTCAAATGTGATTTGTCCCTGTTAACCTCAATGATTTATTAGCTTTGATCAAAAATTATATTTTTAATGTCCTTAACTATGATGATTACTTCACCAAAATTATTTGACAGGCTAGTCACTACTGTTAAATGCCACTTTAGCATAAAAAAGTTAAGCAGTGATTGCTGGACTGATGATCAGGGGTCCTCCACATTTCTCTTGGGCAGTATCATTCTCTCTTCTTTGAGCATAAAGCTCTAAGTTGTTTCTCTGATTTTTCTAAGTGTAGGGAGTCATGAGTGCATTTTAACCCATATGCTACCTCTTTTGTTCTCACTCAGAGGGGTGGTTTGAGAACCTCTGTTTCATATGCTCTGCTTGTCTTTCAGCTTTCTTCCCTCAAACATTCATAGGGAATTTTCTGTGGAGGATGAACCTTTTGCTTATCCCATCACAGGAAGAAGCAACAAAATTTTCTTTCTAGTGCATGTTGCTGGCAGACTGCAGAGAAGCTAGGAGTTACTACAGAGCTCTTTTTATGCAGAAAGGAAGAATAATTCTTGTATCTTAATGGTGTGATATCTTTATTCAAGGTCTAGAGCAAAGGCTTTGAATATTCAATTTTGGATTATATTTTCATCAAAAAATTATTTTCCAGTATTTCCAAAGGAGAAATTAGTTGGTCCAATGTACATTGGCAGCTAGTGTTGCTGCTGCTGTTTTCTGCTTGACTTTTTTATTCTCCTTCTAGCACAGGTTGGGTCTATAGTGCTGTTACTGTCAATTCTCAGGGTTTCAACTTCACTAAAAAGCTGTGCTGTGGGCAAATTTTACTGTTCTGGCAAGTCACTTAGCTTTCCTGAAATCTAATACACTTTTGCCAACTTCAGTTCCAGAAAGCATTAGCTGTGAACTGTAAGAGCTTAAATATTTGAGCTTTAGTTTAGTCAAGGCTCATACCAAACAATCTTTTTCTTCCTCCCTGTGTGTTTTCTACCCAAGTCATGAATTCCTGAACAGGCATTAAACTGCCTATTATTAATTGGTAGCATGTCATGAGTTAACTCCACAGTATTAGTGTGAGAATTAATTTTGAATAGTTTTGTATAATTGTCTTCTTTTGGTGTATATACACATTAAATAGATAAATGTAAATAAGGAAAAGGTTAGACCCAGTATATTGTCAAAGTAAAGATAGGGGATTAGCTGATCTGGGCCTGGTTTGTCTTGGAACATGATTTTGCCATGCCTCTCTTAAGTCCCTTGTACAATTTCTAGCTTAAAAAAACCTTAATGTGTTTGTTAAAAAAAAATCCATTTAAAAGTAATTGCAAAACCCTTGGGAAAAATATTATCTGTGTAATAGTGTCAGCTACTAATGTATTTAAATAGAATAATGGAATGTTAAGGTTTGGAAGGGCATTAGCATTTGTCCTTCTAACCTCTTGACTCGTTTTCATTTTTTCAGATGATATTTCACTCCTTTTGTTAGTTTACAATGTACTCTAAGGTCCATTTATGAGAAACAGAGGAATTAAAAATTCCAGAACTGTGGAAGTATTTCATTAAATGGAAAGCAATTGATTCTTGCAAGTATTTTTACATAGATGAGTTTGAAACTGCTTACAACAGGCTGCCATTTTTTTACTTAAAAGAACTATTACCCTAAATGTTTAAATATATGTTAACATTGAAGTTAGGTAGGTTTTTAAAAAGTATTTTATGTGTTACTGTTACCAGGAGACAGAAAAGAAGTTGAACTTGCCCTTTATGTTTTTACCAAACTTAAAAATTTATACTGCTTAGAAGTGGCAACTACAGCAGAAAACATCCTTTAATTATCTTTCAATTACTGATAGTATAAAAAATAAATTAGTTTTATAATTAAAATTTAGTCATTCTTGTTGTCAAAAACTGTGTGCTTTGTAGAATCTCTTAGTTTTTCTTTTGTTTGGTTGCGGTTACACCACTTCACTTTTCTTTCCTTCTTTTTAAGAGAGCAAGTACGATTTAATGGATTTGGAATTTTTATTTTCATTGTCTATCCTGGAGCCTTTGTTGACCTCTTCACAACTCACTTGCAGTTGATATCTCCTGTTCAGCAGTTAAGGATATTTTGTGCAGGTAATACTTTGTGGTTTTTTTATTAAATCTTTGCTTAGCACCATTCCAAGGCATCATTGTGAATCTTTGATTGAGTATTTAAGGTTTAGAATGAATAAGTACCAAAGCTTCTCTTTACCTAATGGTGATCCTCCTGTTCTGGACCTGTGTTGGCATTTGATCATTACTGCCCTCATTGAGCTTTCTGGGCTAGAGATGTCACTTTCTAGGATCTTAAATGAGTGCAAATTTCCTGTCTTGAAGAACTTTATTCTATTCTAGATCCAATTCAGAATAGTTGTGCATAAGAAATTCCAGTTGTGTGGTTGGGGAAAAACTGATTTCTGATGTTCCTCTCATTAGAAAGAGCTCTTGCATTAGGTGCAGAAGTTCCTCTGTCTTTTTTGTTTGTTGTTTGTTTGGGACTTTTTCTGCACATTGTATGGCCTAAATAGCAAAACCTTGGAGCACACAAGCTGGGAAGTACTGAGCCAGAATGGTGCTATGAGAAAAACGACTTCCTGTCAACACAGGTCGACATCCTTGAACAATTCATTACTGTTTTCTGCAATAGGAACAATCTATTTTTCAAAAGTATTGTGATTTTCACTGACCTGTGAATTGTGTTATTGTACAGGTCACTGTGTTTTGATGTTGCCATCAGGAGGAAATAAAGGTTAAAACACAAACATCCTAAGAGGGTCATAGCTTATGGCTCCAGATAACCTCCAGATGTTTTTGAATTGATGTTTTCTGAAGTCTCTGGCCACTGTTGAGTAGAGCCTCATTGCTGTGAAAAGTCAAACTCAGACTGTTCTGCCTGAACCACTTGTCTGATTATTTCTGGAGACAAGGTGGCTCCCAAAGAACTGAAATAGAGATAGAAAAGTTACCATCTTGGTTCAGTTCTTGATACTGGTGTTTTTTCTGTTGCAAGCTTGCAGCCAGCCTGTTGTAATATTTAGTAAATTTGTTTCTTGTATATTGTATATAAAACATCATACAGAGGGTGGACATACAGCAGGCTTTAGCATGCATGTTTTCAGGCTTTCATAAATCAAGTAAATAATTGCAAATACTAGATAAGTAAATATATCTGTATTCCAAATACCCAAATTAAAAAAAAAAATCATTCACATACAATAGGCTAACTTTTAGGAAGCCCTGTTTCTCAAATGAATCTGTTTCCATTTCCATCTACTGGGAACAGAACTGAAAGAAAAGGCATACTAAATTTCAAAATGGTTTGCTTACATAGATTCCTAAGACATTATCTAGAAAAATAGAATTCTCAGCTGTAATAGAAAATAATTGCTAGCATGTTTTGATGACAAGCAAACACCTGTAATAATTTCTCATGTTTCTTAGGAAACCTGAGATAGGGGAATACAAGGCAGGAGCAAACATATTGCAAGACTGGTCAGCATGAATGGCTTGCTTTCAGTTAGGTATAACAAAGAAATGCATTTTTTCACAGTTTTTGTTAGATATGCTTCAGAACTAGGGTGTTTGATAATGATAAAATGCAATATTCAGTAAACAACCAATTTCTTTTATTTGTCAGAACAGTTGAATGAACCTATTCCTGGTGTTTAGAAATTTGAATTTAGGGAGATATGCTCATATTTTTGTGTAGCAGCTAAGTAACAGAGCTAGACTAGAGGCCAATACCTAATATTCTTTTTGTAGTCCACCTATAGTCTGGAGATTAAAAAATATATTTTTTGTACAGCAGATGGCATCATATGTTCAAGAATAGGAAATGAGTGTTCTTGTAAGACTTGTGATATTTATAGCATAATTCCATGCCTGCTAGATAGATGAAAAGGGATTCTGTGCAGCACCTTCTTGTAATTAGTTCAAATATTTGTATTACTTTCGGAGATAATTTTTAATACATTTCATCTTGTCTTTAACAGGAGTTAAATGTTTTTGGTTTTCTTTTTTTAATTAAATAACAGTATATTATTTTAGGGTGTTTTAGGGTTGTGTAAAGTGTCTCTTCTCAGATGTAAGGAATTAGGTGTCCAAGGATGAGGCTGTTTTAGCAAGATGAAGTTGAGGGTAGACTGAGCAGTATGCCTCTACAGGTATTCTGATTTAGAGCATGTTTATTTTTCTGTGGTTCACCTGGGATGAGTTTATAAACCTTTCTGTTTTAGACTTCTTGGTGTATTCCACACAGGAAATGGTGTCAATTTTGGTAGCAAGGCCCTTTTTTCCTAACTGAAAATATTCCTTGTCACTCTCTAGCAGTTCCATCACTTCTTATTATTATTTCAAGGGTTGGGATTTTTTCAGTTTACTCTTTGTAGCTGCCACACTGTTGAAAAGAATTTTGTTTCCATTTTACATTTTTTGTCTTTTGTTAAGCTGTTAAGCTGAAAAAATATTTTTAAGATAAAAAGGTTAAAACAATAAAGTTAAAATATTTGCCACTACTTGTAGATTTGTTGCAAATAAATGTGTGTATGTGAGATAAGGAGAAGGGATTACAAAAACATTTCCTCTATCTTGAGTGCCTTTCCATGAGATACAATTAAAACTATTGAAAAAAATTACTTTAAGAAGCATGTACCAGTGGAAAAGGCAACTTAGTTCAAGGACTCCAAAAATGTCTCTCATTTCTGCAGCAATATAAGTGTGAAAGAAGGTGAGGTGAGATGTGGAGATAGACAGGGAGGGGACATAAGTCTGCCATATGCTGTGATTTCTGTGTTATATACACTGCAGGAAAGATAGGTTTAATACATTTGTGAATATATTTAATTGAATTCCTTTGCTGTTACTGCACTGTGAGTACAGAATTGAATCCGACTCCTCACAACAGGATGAAGCACTGTAAGAAGGAAATAAAGACTCTTCAACACTGAAAAGTTTTCCTGCATTGTTCATACAAAACTGTTTGTCCAAGAACACAAACGAATGAGAAAATTTGTGTAGTGCTGAATGTGGAAAGCCACAAAGCTTTGATGATGAACACCAGCTGTGTCTTATAATAGTGGCTCATTTCTTCTTGTGGAGAACCACATACTATAAAGATGGCAATTGCAAATATGTTCCCCAAAACACTGTGTCAGGAAGTGCTGCTATTTGGTTTCTTGATGGGCTTTTTGGTCCATATTTTCTTGTAGAAGAAGCCATTTTTTTCAAATAATTTCCTAAATTCATTTGGCACATATACATGTAGTAATTTTAATTGAAATAATGTAGGTTACCATCATAAATACTGAATTGCAAGTAAATTTCAGACATCTTGCTCTGTAGGACAAACAGTATTTTTTCAAAAATAAGCCCATGTATTGAAATTCTTAATTTCAACAGTTTATTGTGTTAGAAGGTAACACGTAATGTATTTCATTCCACTGATTTTTTTTTTTAATATTTATGATTGAAGACAACTCTGTAGATAGAAACTGTATTTTAATAATTGATTCAGAAGCCCAGTTTCTCTTCTGGGTACACTACCCTCTCATACTTAAAAAAGTAGTGGTACATGAAATCTTACTCTGGTGGAATGACACTTTAGAAATGGTCTTACTGCTCTCCTGTCTTTTTTGATAGTATAATTCTCAGGGGCTGAAGAGTTTTCTCTAAAACTTCCTTACAAAAGGGCATTATAGAAGCTAAAGTTTGTAATCTATGTACTCTTCTTTTATGCCTATGTTCACAAATTAACTTTTCATTTATTCTTGCAGTAATAATTTCAGGAAAGTTAATTAGAAGGTTGTTGTAGGATCATTTAAAAACCAGCTTTTTTGTTATTGGTGTTTATTTAGAAACTTTTTTTTGCCTTCTTTTTAGGGGTGTGGCATAATTTTGTTCTTGGTGTTGCCAGTTTCATGGTGTTGTTTCTGCTGCCAGCCATTCTTTTCCCTTTCTATTACACGGGTGTTGGGGCACTTGTCACTGAGGTAGCAGAGGTAAGAAGGATATTTGCTGTTTCCATATTATATGCTTTGTGATCTGAAATATACCTGTATCTCTGATTATCACAGTCAGAATTGGTCAGTGCAGCTCTTTGCAGAATCTAATATAGTGAACTTCTTGCTGAAAGTTTTCCTTTCAATCTCATGTATCTTAGTATTAGTAAATAAAGGAACATGGTGTGAATAATAATAGACTAATTAGCATACTGTAAAACTGTTGAGACTCATTTGAGATGAGTTTGCAGGTTTATTTCTGGTTTTAACTGTTCTTTAGTATTGGCACAAAGCAAATCTACTGGAAATTGTGTTATCGCTCCAGGTACTGCTATCTTTTTTCAATGTTAAAGATTATGTTGAGCTGATTTCCTTGTTTGGTCAGCTGGAAGCAAAGTAGAGATCGATTTCTGGGATTCTGGAAAGGAATGATTTTTTTTCTGACTTAATCAAATAGAGCACAGTTGAACAGCAGAGCTGAAAGGATTCAATCTTTCTTGGACCTAAAAGTCAATTGATAAAACTCAGGAGAGAGTGACATTTATAATGCTTTATTACTTTTGAAAATATGGGTACACCTGCTTTCTTGAAAAGTTCAGGGTATTAATTTAGGTTACTTGAACTTAATATGTTGTGGATTTTCTTAGCATTTTGACCCAGATGAAAATAATTACTCAAATCTGAAGATGTGTCCAGGACACTTGAAGACTTCCCTTTCCCTCCCCTTGCCCCCCAGTTTTTAGTGTCTTAACCTAAAGATTTCATAGTATTCAGTGAACTGTAGACTAATCTTTGTTTATCCTCCTATAGTGATATGATTGACTTCACTGTTCTTCTCAGGATTCTCCTGCCAATGGACCAAGAGGTCTTTTTGTGGGAGACCTTGTCACTAACCTACAAGACTGCCCAGTCTATAATGTGGAAGACTGGAATTCCTGTCTGGGAGACATTTCAGAGAAGTCACAGGTCGGCTACTGTGTAAGTGCAGCCACCCTACAGCAATTAAGCTTTCCAGCTAGAGGTATGACTTAAGGTGCTCTCCTCATTATTTTGTATGTTAATTAATTTCTATTTTAATTTAATCATGTCTTAAAGACTTTTTGGATTTAGAATTTGTTGTTGGGGTCAGATTTCTTGTAAGTCAAATCTGCTGTCCTGTCTTAAGCAATTACCACTGTGTCATGCTGTTTTGTGAAATCTGACCGTGAAAGAGGGCTAGATATAGGAATTTCTCATCTTTCAGTCATCTTGTACAAATATCCTGTATGATCTGAATAATAAAATTTGCTTCTTCAAGATATTGCAGAACTTGGTTTTTAGCAGTAGTACAATTATCTCCTCTCTTTTAAGTTCTGTAAAATAGATCAACTCAGTGATCTTTTGCAGATGTAAATTTCATGTTAACTCACAGCTTTGATCAGCATGACATTGCAAATTGTATTATTTAACCCAATTATGTGCTTTATTATGGTCATTTCTTCATATGTGTCTCCCTATAGGATTTTATGTCATTGCCCATGAACTCAGTTTTGTCTGATACTGCTTCTGGAAGTCAGTCTACTTCCTTCTGTTTCCATTTATACATTAGAGTGCTTGTTGCTATAAGAGCTTATGCCCAAGAAACCGAGAAAAAAAAAAGAACTGAACTGAGCTAGAACAATAAACAAAAATTGAGTAGAACAAAAAAGAACAGTCAAGTTAAATTGGCTGAGCATCTTGTGACATGCCCTGAAGCTCTCTAAAGTTTCTTTCATGCAAGCACTCATGGAAACTGAATTCCAGAGGTAAGGGGCTGCTGCTGAGCAAAGCTTGTGGGATGTTAGTCAGAGCTTTAAAATTGTCACTGCATTTTTCCATCATCCTGGCAATAAACAGGAGGTCAGGCAACTCGACTGTCCGTGGTTTTGATGCACTGTAGAATTTCCGTGACACTGAAAAAGTTGGGTTTTTTTAATTATGTAAAGAAAGTGTTCTTATAGCTGATACTGAGATAAATATTTAAACTGGAAACTAGTGGAGTATGGGTAAGAACCTGCTTTTAGAGGTCTGACACTTTGGGTTATGCCTCTGAAGAGGAGTGCAGCTTTGGCCCATGCTTTCAGCTGGGCAGGGATGGCAAGAACCAATTCTCAGATGTTGTAGGTATATATATCCTCAGATTGTGCTGTTCTCTGAAGTGCAATTTTGGAGTCATGGGTAATAAACCTGCATATTTTGCAGATGAACTGGTCCTGTTTAGATTGGAATACTAGAGGCTTACTGCTGGAGATTCAATATTGCTTCCAAGCCTGCTTGCTGTATTGTGTTAGCAGCCCATTGTCCCCATTGCTGCCTTCTAATCAGACCAGTCTGTCTGCATTTTCAGAGTCATAAGCCTCCAGCAGTGAGAAATATTCCTCTGAAATTAAATGAACTCTGTTTGGTCTTGAGCAGCTGTCATTTATCAAAATCTTGACAGTTCACAACTTGACATAAATGCAGAGTATTGATAAAAATGTATGTAGCAAATGGACTCCATCTAGTTGCCTATAAAACAAATGGAGAGTGAGCTATCTGAGTATTGAAGCTAGAGAGAAAACAATGCCCTAAGGAACTTTTCGAAATTAAAAAAAAACATGGTTTCAATGTAGTTTATAAGAATACTAATTTCATGGTCATTTACTATACAAAACTATCTGTGGTTTCTTAGCCTCAGGGTACTTGAAAAAAGGTTTGTACAGTACAGTGCTTGCACCTGTAAGCCCCAGGCATAAAGCTCCATGTCAGTGATTGCAGGTTGTGCAGTGATAAATCAGCAGCCAGTATCACAGGCTGGATCTGCCTGGGAAGGAACTGCCCTTGCTGTGATACAGATCCTTACCCTGACCATTCTTCTGCATCTGTGTGTGTTTTAGCTGGACAGCAAGTTAGGATTAATTCATTTGAAGAGCATATGTACAAAGGTTCTTTACCAGACTAGTTAAATCAAGGTTTAAAACATCATTTGTTCACTGCTGCAGCCTTCAAGGCTTGGAAGGCTTTCATGGTGTAAAAAGTATGTTTTGAGTCTTGGCCATTTCCATAGCCAGCCAGTGAAATCACTACAGTAGTAGCTAACAAATTTCTAAGCCAAATATTGGTGCAAGTTAGGGGCAATGGATATAGAAGTGTTTTGCAACTTGCAATACTCAAAACAATGCAGTGGTAGATCCCCAGTATCTCAAGGAGATTTATAAAGGTGAAAAAATCAGTATGGCACATGACTGAAATCATGGGACATTCACATGGTGGTGGTAAAGCTTTATTTGTAGTTGTGACTGAGCCTCAGCTAGACTGTGAATTAGTGTAATTCTTGAAGGCTGCAGGACAATTAATAATAGGAATAATAGTTTTACTTTATTCAGAGACTAATTTTTTCAGCAAATAATATTGATTATTTGCTCTATGCCTATGTTCTTTAGTTTACAGAAGACTTGATGGCACAGTAGAATGTTGTAGTAACAACAGCCTCACAGACATTTGCTTTTCATACAGCAATAAGTTGGACAGCCACCTGGTAAGTTACTTAAACTGCTGATTCTCTTTGGTAAATCTATTTTTTTTTCTATTAATTTAGTAATATTTGCCCACACCTATACAGCATACTCAAGTGTTTAAGGATATCTACAGTTTGTAATAAAGGTGTGCATGTATACAATTTTCCCAATTACAGCTTAAAAAACTACAAAATGCTAGTTACAATTTTTCCCGTAATCAAGCAGGAAGTCTCTGGAAGAATCATAAAAAATCTTAGACACCTCATTCCTTCAGGCAGAAAGACACCTCAGTCATTTTAAGTATTCTGGATGCACAATACTGGTGAGAAAAAACAACTTTTGAGAAGAAGTCGAAATTCATTATTTTGATGTTTCAGTCTTCTAAATGTATTCACCCCTACAGGGAAAGCAAAGCCCTGGACTGTCTGTTCAGTTATTTTGTCTGAAGCCAGCAGTGCTGCTCCCTAAATTTAAAAACATGCAGGAGAAGGTCCTAGAGATTGCCCAGTTTCTCAAAATAAGGGCCCATACTTTAATTTTTTTTTTACTATGTTGAATTTCTTGTCACATAGAAACAAAGTTTATCAGTGGGATTTTGCCTTACTCCCTTAGAAAAGGGTTTAGCAGCATTCCAGTGCTTAAAGGGGCTACAAGAAAGCTGAGGAGAAACTTTTCAGAGGGGCATATAGTGATAGACAAGGGGGAATGGCTTTAAACTGAAAGAGGGCAGGTTTAGATTAGAATTAGGAAGAAATTCTTTACTGTGAGGGTGCTGAGCCACTGGCCCAGGTTGCCCAGAGGAGCTGTGGATGCCCCATCCCTGGAAATGTTCAGGGCCAGGCTGGAGCTCTGAGTTTTTTCCGGATTTATTTTAACCTGGTCCAAGGGAAGGTCCCTGCCTGTGACTGGGGTTGGAATGGGATATCTTTAAGGTCCCTTCCAACCCAAGCCTTTCTATGATTCTATGAAAATTCATCAATGTTTTTTAAAATATGTTTTCCATACTGACAGTAATGGAATATTTCTGTTGGTTCTTTACAAACAGAAGAACACATGAATCAACTGTGTAAACTTTTCTACACATACCAATTAGTTATTGTTCTGACTCTAGTGATAAATACCTGAAGAAATTAAAATAATTTTTTCCAAATCTGCTATGTTTACAGTTTCTGCAGTGGTAAACTTCCCACTCCAGGATATTTAACCACGAAGAGCTGAACACGTTCCAGTGGTTCATTTGAAATATGGCAGTGGCAGCAAGATTTGATAAATCACTATCCCATTGAGCCTGGGCATTCTTAAGCTTGTAGTTGCTACTTATGAACAAGGAAGAAATAAAAGCATCAGGAAGCTTGAGACCTTGTGACTTTCAGGTGTCTTTAGACTGGCTGTGATTTTTGAACATTTTTTAATGGTCTTTGCAGTGCTAGGCAGCAGTTTTTGAAAGTGTGTCTTCTCCCTCATTAGAGTAGAAGGAATTTATATCAAGGTTAATGGTGAGGGTCTGACACTCATGTGTTATGGGGAGTGCAGTGATCAGGCTGAGAAGGTAGAAATTACTTTTGCTTTTCCTCCTAAGGCAAATAGTAGATTATGATTCCTTGCTTCTATTTTTAGAACAAAAGGAAAAGTGTCACTGAGATTTTTCCAAGAGACATGAAGGGGAAAACTAATTTCCTGTTCCCTCCTGCTGTACTGTCTTTGGCCCATGGGGAGCAAGAAAGCTCTGGTCTGTCAGAGAGTGAAAGAGCAAGGGTTGGGGCACAGCAGTGCACTGAGTCCTGTGTTCATCTTAGTTGAGAATGATTTCTTAGCTACCACACACCAGGCATGTTCTTTGGTTTATTTGCTAAAACTTCATCTTGAACAGGTAAGTCACTAGGATGTTGATACCGAATCTGTCCATTAGAAATCACTGACCTATGTTTAGGTGCCATGGTGTTTTGTTGTGCATATATGTACTTTGCTAGAAAAAGTTTGCTTTTATTTTGGAATATGTACATACTCTCTCTTCCACACTATAAAATATGGAATGACAGGTTGAATATGCATTAGGTAGAGATTTGTCAGGATTTCACAACAAAAAACTAGGGGGAAAAATTAGATTTTAGCTCTTCATGGGCTTATATCAGTGAGGCATTTCTTTGCTTAAAAGGGAATCTTTTGTTCCTTTTATTTTGATGTGCTGGAAAATAGCTTACCTTTACCTTTCATGATGATTTTGAATGCCCTTTGCAGTATGCCTGTCTGCCAGCACGAAAAGTTATTGAAGCCAGCAAAGTTTGTCGAACCAACATGGACTGCCAGAAGGACTTTGTCCCAAGCTTTTGTGTGACTCCTTCTTTGGAGAACCAAACAAGGCTCATCAGGGTAAAGCATCCACCCCATATTGACATGCTCTATGTAGGACACCCCATGCATCTTCAGTACACAGGTTGGTATCATTTATTGGAGGTTTAGCAAAAGCAGTCTCTAATATGGTTTCCTTTGCCTGCCTGCTTAAACCAGGTCTTAGAGTGCTTCTCACTTAATTTGTTTAAAGCAGAATCCATTTCTTGTTACAGTCAATGGAGAGACATGGACTACTCAGACCTAAAATAAAATGTTCACAGTGCAATGAGTTATGAAGGTAATAGAAACCATATGTGATATGAGATGGTTGTTTTTTTTAGAAAACTATGAAAGGGCAATTTCTGGAACAGATCCTATTCAGGTTAGTCATAGGAACCAGGTGCATGCATTTCCTAGCACACAAATGTCTCAGAATGCCATTGTAAAATCTCTAGAGCACCTTGCTCCAATGCCTTGCCTGGAATATTAGCATGACTGCTTAAATCACGCCTAATATCCAAGTATCTGTGACAGATTCCCATGACAACTGAGCCACAAGTGTTATCACAACATTTATTTTTTTCATCTGACTGCCCTAAATTAAGTAACATATAAAATTTTAGTTCCTTTCTTTGAAGTTTACTGTGACTCTCCTTTGGGCATCTTATATAAATAAAAAGTTATTCTGCTTCTGAAGTGAGTATGGAAAGAATGAACAAATTCATCAACATCTGACTTGATAGCTTGAGTGGCATGGTGAAAATTAGCTGCAGATGGGCTTTAAGAAATTTGTAGTGTTAAATTACTATCTCTTCCTGTGAGGAAGGTATATGTTCCTCACAGACAGCTGAAACTCTTGAGGTGAGTTTAGAAGTACTACCTTGGAATTATCTCCTTAGGAAAGCATTGTACTTTTCTGAATAAGCAATGGGATTAGGTACAAAAGAGTTTTAGAAACTTTAGAGTGATGAAATCTGGTGAGGTAAATCTAATAACATTCTTGGATACCATATTTTTAATTAATCTATCAGTCTTTATTTTTCCATACTGGTAATTTGATACTCTGTGAGGAGTTACTTATTTCAACTTTTTTTTTATAATATACTCTAATTTAAGCCCAAAATATAATCTTCATTTGTTACTTCTGGCCTTATTTCCTACTTACTTAGGAAAACATTTTTCACTTGTGTGTTACCAACACATACTACTGTATCTGATGATATTTATTTCAAATGCAGCAACATATTTTAAGAATAGTGTTTTATAATTATTCAGAATTCCTTTTCTTGGTCTTTAACAATACAAACTACTGGTACTGAAGATCAATTGATGTTGTTCCCTTTTCAATACATTGGAACAATGGAGTTTTCATTGGTGAAATAATTGAACCTGCCAGTCTTTCAGAATAAGAATTTAACCTGCCAGTCTTTCAGAAGTCAGAAAAGAATGTTGTTGCATTTAAAGGGGTAGTTCTTCTTTAAGAAGTTATTTGTAAAAAACTGTTTGCATACACACGTAGGAGTAGAATTTTAAAGTGATTTACCCTTGGAATTGTGCACTTAATGTATTAATTTGAAAGCTAGAAGTTTAATTTTATTAACAGCTTTGCTGCAAATGTAATCTGTGCTCTTATGTTCCCTTTGGAAAAACGACCAAAATGATAGAATGCTGGCTTGGGTAGCAGGCAGTCTGCTGTGCCATTGTAGAGTTTCATTCCAGTGAAACAACTTCTAAATATTTCAGGCTTAGCATTGCACTGTACAAGACTGGCTGGGGCCAACAGGTTTGGTGTGGGTTTTTGATTTATTTTTTTTCCCCAAATGTGATTGATCAAAATGTGGTAACTGTTTTTTACAGTTAAAAAAAAGAAACTAATTTCTTCCTGTACTGTGTGAGCTTTGAAATAGGAATATGTTTTAATGAAATGCCTATTCTGTACTGTGATCTTTCTGCCTGCAGGAAATGTTACTTTTTAGAGTGGTGCTATATTTAACACACAACATAATATAGGAGTTGTAGTACTAGTGTGTACTATGACTATACTTTCTCTAGAAATGTCACTGAAGCAATGTTTGAATAACATTCTAAAATTATGCATGCATTATTTTCTGCTTAGGCTTGTATTGTTGTCATGGTAGTCCTGGTTTATGGAAAAGCAGTAATTATTTCATATTTTCATTTGAAGGTAACTTCAGATGACATGTATTTTTTTAAAAAGTATATCTGTATTAGCTACTTAGAAGAAATAGTCTTAACAGTTTATTTCTATTAAATCTTCTGTTGCCTCAAATTTAAATATCCTAGCAAAAATACTTTTGTTGTTATGGAGGCAATAGATATCACTTGTTTCCAGTATTTAAAAATAGCAAAATTTTCAAGAATTATAATCCTAAGTTAACTTACAGGGATGGAGATTTGGCCAAAACTAAAACAGAAGCATGATTAGGAGTGCATGTTGTTTGGGGCAGACACATTAATGCTTTTAATTAGCATTCTTTCTGTAAAAAGTATCTAATGTTATCCAATATAAATTCATATTGCCAGTTCAAAACACATGGTATTAAGTCTTTTAAACTCTTCCTATTGCAGGCCACTTATGTTCTAAAGTCCCTTCCTCTGTTGGACAGTTGCTCTGTAAGGTTGAAATGGAGAGCCCTGTCAGTACTGCCATGCAAATTTTCAGTGTTTCTTCTTTATTATATATGAGGGATTTTATTCCCTCATGTAATTTCTAATAGTGCAACATTTTTGCTTCCTTCTCTGGCCCTTGTTGGTTGGGAAGGATCTGGTGACTAAGATTTATATTAGGAATTCACACTACTTTAGGAAACATCATGTCCCTGAATGTTACTCTTACCCATCACAGACCAAAACTGTAAGATTTTCTTCACAAAAAGAAGGAACTTACCTAGAGATCATTTCCTCAAGCTTGACCAGCCACCTACTTCTGTTGTATCCAAGTCTTTTGAAATAAAAAAGGCATTTCCTGGCTTTGGGCGTGTTTATGAGCAACAACAATCCATGGCGAAGGTCTTTCTGGTACAGCCTGCTCTCTCAGTATTTCCATGCTTGTTTACCCTTATAACTGAGGATGGTCCTTCATTGCTTTTAACCCAGGCTTAAAGGATTACACAGATAGTTCTTCAGGAGACCACACAGAAGTATCTCATGCCGTGCTGTCTGTCTCCTCCGTGGCATACATGCCCTTTCCCCCATGAAGAAGTTTTGAAAAGCTCTTTGGTCAACCTAGTCTACAAGTCACTTCCAATTAAAATTGTATCTGTTGTGAATCCTTCTCGATATTTGCCAACACCATCTAGCATGAGTCAACAAAAGAAATGTTCTTTCCAGGTCAAAGGATTGTTTAATTAGAGTGGGAAAACAATGACTGTTTTCTCCCACCCGGGCTCATTGCTCTTCACCTCTTCCCAGCAGTGTCTTTGATTATGCCTGTAGAGCATAATTTCTGTAATTCTTTTGTTATTCCTCAGAGGACAGATTTGACTTCTGCCATTAGGTTTGATCCATTGCAACCACAAAATTCATTGCCTAATATTACAGTTTCTAAAGGTCAGTCCAGCAACTTCCTGAAGAGTTTCTCTGTGTTTGGAGCTTGCTTCAGCAGCAAGGTTTGGAGTTTAGATCCATGCAGGTGGCTGTCAGTGACAACAGTTTATTGTAACAGGAGGGAAGAGGAGCAATGATCCATTCTCAATGTAGACATAATTTCAGGTTCAGGATGGTAGTAGCCATTAGGTGTTTGTCAGGAGGCACTCAAGCTTTGAAACTCAAGTTTTGCAGTGTGTGTCTTTTGAAACCTTTGAATACACTGGCTGTCTCAGCAAAATGTCTCAGCCATTTTGCTATTTTGGCTTATGAACAGGAGTTTTGATCAGATGTTCTGATACCAGCCTTCAACTTGACAAGTGGTTTGCATTGGACATCACTTGACCTCTGCATACAGACAAACTGTGTAATGCAAGGCTGGAGAGCAGCCCCGCAGGAACACATCTGGGTGTCTTGGTGAGAGGCAAGCTGAACATGAGCCAGCAGTGCCCTGGCAGCCAGGAGGGCCACCCATGTCCTGGGGCCATCAGGGACAGCATTGCTGGGCAAGGGAGGAGGGGATTGTCCCTCTGCTCTGCACTGGGGCAGCCTCACCTCAGGTGCTGGGGGCAGTTTTGGGCACCACAATATAAGAAAGATATAAAGACATTAGAGTGCATCCAGAGGAGGGCTACAAAGAGGGAGAAGAGTCTAGAATGGAAACTATTTGAGGAGCAGCTGAGATCACTTCCTCAGCCTGGAGGAAACTTCGTCATGGTCTACAAACTCATGAGGGGAAGTGGAGGGGCAGGCATTGATCTCTTCTCTTGGTGACCAGTGACAGAACCCCAAGAAATGGCCTGAAACTGTGCCATGGGAGGTTTAGGTCAGATTATTAGGAAAAGGTTCTTCACCCAGAAGGTGGTCAGGCAGTGGAACAGGCTCCCCAGGGAAGCAGTCTTGACAGAGACTGTCAAAACACCAAGCTTGACAGAGTTCAAGCAGCATTTGGACAATGCTCTCAGGCACATGGTGTGTCGCCTGGGGATGTCTTGTGCAGGGCCAGGAGTTAGACTTGATGATCTTTGTGAGTCCCTTCCAACTCTGGATATTCTGATACTATACAAATACTTGTGTGAAGACTGTCCCTTTTATTGAGACAAAAAGCCAATCCCTGAAGCTGTTGGTTGTGTTTCTGTCAGCTCAACCCCTACACTGGCAGGCTCACCTTCAGCTTTGTCCAGAGGGCTGGGCCAGCAGGTTTGGGGGTGGAGGGGGCTGTTTCTGTTGTGGCTGGGGCTGGGCAGTTCCCACACCTGCTTGAGGGCAGCCAAGGGGGGGCAGGGGAGCAGGGACAGCTCAGGGATTAGATGTGTGAGTTTCTTAGGGCTACTGCTGGGCAGGTTCAGGTATACTGGTCTGGCTGTCTGAGTGTGTGATCAGGCGGGCGCGTTCCTGTTGGTCTCCAGAGAGTTGCCTGTGGAGAGAGGAGGTGGCTGAGCTGCGGGTGAGGCACAGGGACTCTCCTCCACAGCAGGGCCCAGAGCTAGCAGGGCT